ATATATATTTTCCAATTGATTAATACATCTATATATATAATATATAATTATTGCAACAATTAACTCTTTTAATTTCATAGTACTCCTATATAATATGAACACCTTAATTACATAATTATCTTTAATTAATTAAGTTGTCAGGTTGACAGCTCTCTCAAGATCGAATTCGTCTATACATATATGTATACAAACTTACGTACTGACCATGACTGATAAGGGCGAGGCATACATGATGATATTGAAAAGGAGGCAGATGATTCCAACTACCATAGGGCGGTGGTGGGTGGTGTTTAAAAGAGTGAGGACGACAACGGCAAGGGCAGCGACGAAGATGAGCTCCAACAACACAAGCAGCAGGAGCTTGAGCCTTTTGTTCTTGTCGGAGTAGATGACAAAGAGGGTGAGGAAGAGGAGCTCAATGAGGGTACCGGTGCCGTTGATGGTCCAGACGAGGGTGCTGTTTGTTTGTACCCAGGGCATCCCATACAGGACCCAGATCAAGCAGTTGACTATGGTGGCTAGGCACGGGGCTGCTGAGTACTGCTCCACGCGAGCTTTCTCGCAAATTCGGATATAAGTTGGACTGTAACCAAAATAATAATAATAATAATAATAATTAAAATGATTAATTTATATATATAGCTATATAGCCAGTGCAACTAATCAATTAAAGAAACAACTCATAGGTAGATTTCAATAATTAATATTACGGCACCGCCAGCCGTATGTGCTAGGCTGCGGTCTTTTATTTTTTTGAACAATTATTATAAAATCGAATTGAACTGTTATTTAAAAGAAGGAAAAGATGAGAGTGATGGATGCCACTCGATTCTTATGAGTCGGCTGTAGAGCCATTAATTAATTAATTAATGATTTTTTATTCTCTCATTGGATTGATCTTTAGTATGGCAGGTTCAGGTATAGAGAAGGTAGGTTGAGAGAGAGCAGAGAATTTATATATATATATATATATATATATAACTGGTTCCGATCACAGTCTTCTACTTGGCATAATAGGATTTAGATTCCTGGACATGTCAAATATTGATTTGATGTCAATTTGTTATATACGGCATCTATGTCTATGCTCTTCTGTGATGAGTATTGATAAGTGACTTAATTCAAGTTTGTCCAACAACACAAGCAACAAGAGCTTGAGCCTCTTGTTCTTGTCTGAGTAGATGAAGAAGAGGGTTAGGAAGAGGAGCTCAATGAGGGTGCCAGTGCCGTTGATGGTCCAGACGAAGGTGCTGTTCAGTTGTACCCAGGGCATCCCATACAGGACCCAGATCAAGCAGTTGACTA